CTGCCATCGAGTCAATTCTAACTCATTGCAACACCCATTGGGTTTCTGATGCTGTAAATCTTTAGGCACTACACCACCAGAGGGGCTTACATTAAAAAAAAGGAGGGGTGCAGTAAAATGCCTACTTCATAGGGTTTTTGTAAATCTGAATTATCTATAATTCTTAGGATGTAATGCTGTCATATTGTAATGCCTGGAAAGTTATGGGTTGATGTTGGTTGATGTTTTACCTGTAAATCCACTTTAAATTGAATATTGTTTAGTAAGGAATGCATATGTGTGTGTGTGTGTAATTTATTTGAAAATATTAAGTAATACAGTTTGTAGGACTCATTTTTTGACTGATTAAACTGTCTTCTACTTGAGACTGATTTTGGGAGAGGGTTGCTGCATAATATGTAGCGTTCAGATACTCTGTCCTGCTATTTAGTATTTTTAAAAGATTTGTAGATAATTTTCAAAAGATAATTTTATAGGCCCTGTGCTGCTTCCAGATTTATGCAGTTTCCTTGTTTAAAGTAGGACTTTCTCCTGACAGTTTGTGTTAACATTTGGAAAATTCCCTATCAGTGGACGAGCACCATCTTGACAGCCCTATGCTCTGCTTCTACCTTGCTAATTGTTTCCTTGGGATTATTTGGATTGTGTAGAAAGCTTTTTGCAAATCCTCTTATTACTGAAGTCATTGTTGCCAGCAGGAATAAGATTAAAGGTGCTTAAGTCTGTAGAGTTGTTTCTAATTTGTACATGTCATTTCAGTGGCATTTTAACAGAACTCTGTCTCCTGTTCCTTCCTTGTCCCTTGGTACTAGCTCAAGTTAGGTCCAGGAAGCCAGGCCATTGGAAGAAATCTCATTTTATCCTCCTAATTATTATGCTGGCACTCAGGAGATAATTTTTCCCTTCATGCACTGCCAATTAATATGCAAATGAGCTGATAAATATTTATGTAACGATTTAAATTATGCAGGGAGTGCTTTCAGTGTATTCTGTAAATGAATTGTTCATGGACTTCAAAGTACTGGCTGCTGTGCTAACGAGGAGAAATTTGCATAAGACCCTAATCACACGCATACTGATTAAGCTTCATTATGGAAACTGCCAGCTGCAATCTTTGTTTCTATTTTATTACAAAAAGGGGAACTTTTCATGCTTCAGTTGCCTTGACAATGTCAGTCCTAGCTGGTAGGAGAGACTAAAACTCTGAGCAACTGAAGTTTCCTTATTCAGTTGAAGATTGCTATGGTGTAACTGAAGTTGTATTTTGCTTTCCTCCATCCACTTTCCATCCCCCACCCTTATTCTCTTAAGAACATAGTGTAGATTTGTTAGAAATAGTTGTACCTTCTTTCCCCTACCCCAAACTGCTACCTGTTTCTTCCTTGCTTTGGACTGTTGAACCTTTAGAAGATTTCACAGCAATGCTGGACTGCAGTGACTATGTTCTAGGTGGGTACCAGCACAGTTCTTTCATATAAGCTTTAATATGGAAATAGCCTGTGTGGGGTTGACATGCATAAATGCTTAATCGCATACTTACTAGCGGGGAGGGGGTGGCTGGTTGATCAGGGAAGGAGGAAGGCATTTGCAAAGCACAAGCATACTTGAATTTGCTTTAAGTTGCTCCCTATGACTAGCTCTTCTGCTTCAGAGGATGTTTGCAGTAAATACCGTGGATTTAGAATTCTGCGGGAATAGGTGACATTTTTGTTTTTTGAAATTTCTATTGAGAGCACATAGTTCTAAAAACACTCCAAATCTGAAACCAAGCTATAAACTGTACCCAAATAATATATACATGCTAATTTAAATGTTTTGTAAATTTAACACAAATATCTTATATAAGATCCAGAGGTGCTTAGTGAAAAATAAGGTGGAGCCATAGTACAAAATTGTTTCCATAAATACTATTGCAGAGGGTGATTGCATTGGTTACTGAAATAGGATTTTGGATTAATTTCTAGATTTCAGAAACTTAATTGTTTTAAGATTTTGCTAAGATTAGCCTTTTCATCTTTTAAAGTCACCTGTGTTCTTTGGAAAACTACAATTTTAAGTATTGGAAATCCTAGTTTTAGAGTTTTCCCTATAGAACAACAAGCCTTTTGGGGAAGAAGATGTCCAGCTTGAATATTTTGAACCATCTTTGGGGACTGAAGAGCTCTGGTGGTGTAGTGGTTAAGCATTTGACAGCTAATCAAAAGGTTGGTGGTTTGAACCCACCAGCTGCTCCATGGGAGAAAGATTTGGCAGTCTGCTTCCGTAAAGATTTGCAGCCTTGGAAACCCTACTACAGGACAGTTCTACTCTGTCCTATAGTGTCTAACACTATGAGTTGAAATTGACACACAGCAGTGGGTTTTGGTAACAGATTTAAAATTGAGGCACTCTAGTGTTTAGACATGATGGCTCTTTGGTGGCCACATTTTGTGTTGATTTTTGTCTGTTTATATGTATAACTCTTAGAATCCTCATAAAGTTACTCTGGTTACCTGCAAAGTCAAAAGATATGAACTCCAGAACTTTGATATCTTACCTTTAAAATTTTTTTAAAATTTCTTTCTTTCTGTATGTCATCTTCCCCACTTAAAAATCCATATCATAGTTGCCAGAGATAAAATGTTACTTCTGAAAATGCTTAAATCCTTAGGCTTGGCCTAAACCCAAGACAATGTAGTATTTGTCCAGCATAGTGAAAACCACTATTAAAGAATGAATGACAGAAACAACAAATTGATGCCAAGAATTCAAGCCAGGAACAACTCATATACTGTGTGTTATTATATTAGACTTATATATATATAGTCATCTAAGTGTCATACACAGATAATTTGGGTATTGCCCAGAGAGAAAAATCTTCAAATATAAAAAAAAAAAACTTGTTTCTATTTACTCTTTGAGTTCCAAGATAGGAACTCAAGAAAGGAAAATACTTTTCTGAAATATTTTTAGCAATATATTTAAAAATGAGGAATTATGTCTCTTAATTTTCAGTAACAGTAAATATCATTTAAACAGTCTTTGCAGCATTGTTCTATTGTTACAGTTAATCATAATTTTATTGTTTCATTCATTGTTTTTGATGAGGTAATTTTAATAAATGCCTTTGAAACTCCTAATAGTTCAATAATAAAACCTTAGAAAATCCACATAGAATATCTGTGATAAAATCTTTAATTTATAGATGTGGATATTAGGATATAAATTTTACAAGTACAGGCTCATGAGTTTTATTGAATTATGCCTCTCTTGTTTTTATGGTGTCCACATATGTAGGAAAATTGTTACCCATTTTTTAGATGTTAATTAATTGGTTCATCATTTTTTTCTGCTTTAAAATAAATTCTAAGGGAAGTATTGAGCAGGGTGTATGCTTAATAGTATTACATTTCTTAATGATCATTGACTTTCATAACATTTTGGTTAAGTCATTCAGAAAGCTAATTTTCAGTAAATTTGTGCACCTGTTCCTTTCAAACCTTTGTGTGCTTTCCGGTGATACTTAAGTTTCTGTGGACAACCTCTCTATTTTAATAACTAAATAATATCTTCAGTGGGGGTAAGGAAGCTGTGAACTGCCCTCATTTCAGACCATTAGCACACCATTTGAACCCTTTGAACTTCTGAGGAAAACTAAAGTTAAAATAGAACTGTTCAAGTTTGTGAGATAAATGTCTGTTACCAAAGCTACTATATTATAAAAACTATTATAAAAGCTTCTAAGTTGGAGATGAAGTTTATGGGAGAAGCACTTCTGATTCTTTCTCATCACTTATGCATATGGATGTATCCGTGGACAACTTCTTTGAGACTTCCGTGTAAGGATTGTTTTGATTTCCTAGCTAAGTGTTTAAACATATTGCAAAAATGTGCTCTTTGGGCAAAAAAAGCATTTTAAATGTTTGTTCTTTATTAATAACTGTAGTTAAATGGTTCTCAACTTGATGGGAGAAAAGGCAGAACTTGTTTGATAATAAACATACTTGATTATAAATATGTTAAGTTTGAGTTTACAATAGATGTGAAATAAGACATTTATGTAATATGTATTCAGTTTTTGACCCTTTCAAAGAGGTAGAAGAAGAGCAGACTTGTTCTTGCCTCGTCTCTTATATATCTTCTGGAATACCTACTATTGCTTGATGAAAACTTACTACTGTGGAAAACCTTCATTCACTAGATAACCCTAAAGGAAAGAAACCCAGACCTGCAGGTTCATTCGGGATATCAAGGTAGTTTAACTTTTAAGTGGCTGTGGTTGTAATTCAAATTTGAAATTATTAGATAGATTTATTATTCCTTGTGGTACACCTTCTTGTACTAGTTTAAGATTAAGGTTTAAATTTGACATACTCTGATTTTGATAGTGTTTCATATGGGGCTTGTGGGAGAAAAGTCAATATGGAGATACGTTTCTTGAACTTTTTTTTAAATTATTTTATTTTTGTATTAGCTTGCTTTACTACTGTCCCATGTATTTTCAAGATTGCCAGTGAATTATTTTGGATATAATTAATGAATATCTTTGCTTATAAAAAAGAAAAACCCTTTATTTGGGAATAATTTTTTTTTCTTTTTTTTTAAAACAATTCAAAGTGCTTTCTTTTTCTCCCCCTTTGTTTCTTTAACATATTTACAGTTTATATTATAAAGCATTTAAATAGGTATGTAAATATATATATGTGTGTATATATATGTATATCAGACTCTAATTTTTTTCAAGTTAGATGTATGTTATCTTTCTTAGAAGAATCCCAAAGCCTTTAGAAAGATAATTTATTTGTGGGTCACTTTAAAGTCCAGGGGACCTGAATTTCTTTCAGATAACCTTTTTATCATAATTTCCAACATTTTGGCTTTTACATGTATGCATTGTTATCCTTGAACTGTATGTTTATAACATTAACCACTATTCTTAACCCCTCCCCCTGCCACAATTGAGCATCCACAACCTTGTCCCCAATATTTTTAAAACCTAATTCACCTCTGATTTATTGCAGACTCAAGAATGAACAATCCATCAGAAAGCAGTAAACCATCTATGGAGAGTGGAGATAGCAACACCGGTAAGAAAGAGTCTCAGATCCAGCTTTTCCGTTATATCTAATAGAGCTAAAAAGAAGAGACTTTTCATTTAATTATGACATATATATATATATATATATGGCAAATAAAGGCCAATTTTATTATTGAGTTGTCAGATATTACAACTTACTACACATAAGAATCGGAAGTGTATTTAAGATTATCTAAATTTCTTTGGCAGATTGCTTTATTTTTTTGTTTATATCTATCAGAAAAACTACAGAATAATTAAGAGAATAGGCCTGTGACTCAGATAGTTCTGGGTATGGATTTGCTGTTTAACCTGCTAAGTGACTTTGGGCATATGTTCCCCAGTCTTCCTGAGACCTAATTTCTACATTTGTAAATTTGGGATAATATATCTCATAGATCATTGTGAGTACTAAAAAAAGATAATATATTTGAAGTATTGACCACAATGCCAGGTACACAATAATTGTTTTGTAGCACTGGTCCCAATACTAATACAGGTGCTTGGGCCACTTTGGTTAGGTGTATAACTTGTTTGTGAGAGAAACAAGTAGATCCCATTAAATGACTGGAGGAGAGAGTAAACAGGCCTTCTGTGTCTAAAAAACAGATTCAAAGAGGGAACAAGACAAGAAAAAGAGATTTACAGAATGATTAGAGAACACTGAAAATATCCACTACATTGTATTCCTTGGGAATCCCCATATTTACTTTAACACCAACACTATAATAGTGCTTTGGTGCTTTCCATTTATGGAGCGTCTCAAAAAACAAAAAAAGCTCACTGCCGTCGAGTCGGTCCTGACTTATAGCAACCCCTCCTTGGGTTTCCAAGGTGGTATCTCTGCAGAAGTAAGTAGATTGCCCAGTCTTCTTTCCGAGGAGTGGCTGGTGGGTTTGAACCGCCAGCCTTCATTTAATATAACCTCCGTGACATGTATTTGAAAATCTAAAGCATTGTACATATCACCTGATTTCGAGTTCTTATGATAACCCTGCAAGTTATATATTATTTTATTTCAAGAATGTATGGGGTAAGAATCACCTGGGGGTCTTGTTAAAACGTAGATTCTGATTCAGTAGATCTGGGATGGAAATGCAAATTCTTAGCAGAAGGTTGAACCAGAATGAACCTGTATAGGCCTAAAACCATGTACAGACCTATACAGACAGTCCCAGACTTACGTACTATGCCTCCCTTCCCTTTAATGTTTTGTATATTTCCCCTCACTTTGGAAGAGCTTGAACCAGCCCCTACCCACAACAAATTTTTCATCACAATCACCTTCACTTGCTGTACACAAAGCTTTTAAATCATGCAAAAATCTTTGAGACTTTTCTTACACTAAAAATCAAAACCAAACCTATTGCCATTTAGTTGATTCCGATTCATAGCAACCTCCATAGGGTTTCCAAGGCTGTAAATCTTTACAGCAGCAGACTGCCTTATCTTTTTCCTTCAGAGTGGCTAGTGAACCACCAACCTGTTGGTTAACAGCCCAACATCTTAACCACAGTGCCACCAGAGAGCTTCTTTCTTGCACTAAAGTAAGGCTAAATAAGAACTGTATGCACTTGTTTCAACTTATCTGCAAAATCTCAAAGACATGGGAACTGATCTTGTTTGTAACCTGGGGACTACCTGTGTAAGATAAATTCAGGCTGGAGCACTTGCTGAAACAGTCTTAGGAATTTTACCCTCTTTTAATATGGAATGCATGGCAGACTCATTCCCATCCTAGAGCTTGAGCAGAACCAATTTAGATATTTTACTCTTTCATGTCTCTAAAATTCCATTTTTGTGGTAATTTCTTAGGCCTCTTTATTTCCATCACAGCAATAGTGTTGATTTTCTCTTTTCCCTTCAGAGAGAGAAAAATTTCACAAGAGTTATTGTTGATCCGCTAATACAAAAATCAAATCGAATATGAGACGACCAGCCAGTCCTAACTCTGAAGTCACTTCCTGTTTGTCAACTACAACATTTGTTGCCTTAGTAAAATTACAAATTCCATGTTACAGACTTTTAGACTCTCTTGAGAACAACTGAAACATCGATTGTCATTTTCTCAAATGTTAAGGGTCTGTCGCTATTTCCTTAACATCTCCCACTGGTGTCAGTTTTTTAGTTTAGGCTATAGAGGTACATTTGAATTTCAGTTTACATATTAAATTACTGTGTTTAATTTATTAACTACAAAGTTTTCATTTTACTCAGATGATTACATATTTATAAATAGATTTTTACTTAAAAATATAACTTGAACCTGTAGACTTTTTTATTTTAAAGAATATCCAGGTTCTTAGCTTTTGCATGTTTATGAAGAACAAATAAAATTTCTAAAGGAAAGAATGCTTAGCATTATAATCAAACTGAATTTTCACATTTTCTGGATTTTAATACTTTTATAGAGATCATTTTTTCTTGGAACTTTTATCATCATAATAGTTTTTAGCTGTGACATTTTAGAGAGAATGGTATTATAAAAATATGTAAGATTGTTTTGGTATGTTTCTCCTGCCAAAATGATTTATTTAAATTGAGCAGCTAAATATGAAAGTGTACTTTGGTCAAATAGGCCTTATTCTATGTCATAGAAAAGCTATAGTTACAGATTTGTTAATTTATTTGTCTAGTAAGTGCCTGTCCTATATATAAAATACTGTATAGTTCGTGCTATGAAAAGATACCAGTGTGAATAAATGAGATACCCTCAGTCTTCAGGTAGTTTACAACCCATTAAGAAGTAAGACAGGTATGCAGAATCTGATTCAGGGTAGATCATGGTAAGCAATGTTAAGAGGAATCATTAAAAAAGTACTATAACGGTGTTAAGGAGATGTTTCTTTGAGGAAATTTGAGTATATGTTTGGCCAAGAGAAAGGGAACCATCAGGAAGGACAAGATTGAAGAAAGAAAAGTGATGATGGAACAAAGGTTGGGCAGAAGAGCTGGGATCACAGGTACAGAGTGAAGGATTAACTTTGAAAATGGAAAATGATAAACCACTTTCTCTAAAATTGGGCAGGTAAGATTAAACAACGACAGGTAAAATTGAGGTGAAAGAAATGAGGAAAGCTGAGAAAAAATTCACATCAAATTGCCTTATTTTTTCTCCATAAAATAGATGAGGTGATCATCTGAAAGAAGGCAGAGATAATAATAGCAGCACTAGCTACCATTTATTGAATTCCTATTATATGGGAATGGCTGGCCACTTTAGTATATACACTTTGTATCATAATTGTGCTAATATATCCCTGTAAGTTTAGTAGTCTGTTTTATAGACTATTTTATAGATGAGGTAACTGAAGTTCATATTGCTTTAGTAATTTGTGATTGCAAAAATCATGGCCGTTTTATTAGGTAATTAATTAAAATAAAAGAATGAATAAATAAATAAATAAAAAGAAATTATATAACTGTGGAGGGTCAGGCTCAGATTGAAGAAAATAAATGCATAGCTTATCTAGTGAACAGACTTATATGCTCTTCCCCTAGCCTCGCTCAACAGACAAGATCAGGAGTGAAGAAAATGGAAGATTAGATGATTTGGGACAAGAGGGAGTGACAGTGGTATTTCTTATAGAGTAGTTCTTTGGACAGGGTGCTGCCAAGCCCAGGGAACCCCCAAAAATTATGATTTGCTTCTTTGGCTACTTCATATGAATTCTGCTGGTCAGCAGTTGTGTACCAGGTCCCACATTTTGTTGAAAAATTAGAATGGGTGATACTAAGTGTCAGGTCATTGTTTTAGTGGTACTTGAAAAAGAGAGAGCGGAGATAACTTCATAGTATGTTGTTGTTGTTGTTGTTATGTGCCGTCGAGTCGGCCCCGACTCATAGCGACCCCTCCTTGGGTTTCCAAGGCAGTATCACTACGGAAGTAGGATTGCCCAACCTTCCTTCCGAGGAGTGGCTGGTGGGTTTGAACCGCCAGCTGTCTGGTTAGCAGGCAAGTGTCTTAGCCACTATGCTACCAGAGCTCCCAACTTCATAGTATAGCAGACATTTTTGATGTTTCATTTCCTTGTGTTTACAAAGTAAACTGCTGATTAAGATTTTTCAGGAGATGCTTCAGTTTTAAAAACTTTTGCATTTAAGCCAAATCCTTCTTTGGCAGATCATTAGAGTAAAATAATAATAAAAAGAGTTAAACTCAATGAAAGTAAAAACTCTTGTTTGAAACTAGTTTCTACAGTGACCAGAACTGTGTAGTAGATGACTTGTTTCATGTGAGACTTGTTTCAAAACAATCTACCTGGTAGCTCTGAGACATATCTTGCCTGATACTTGAATGGAGCAGCCGGTTACTCACTTGAAATCAAAATGCAGACTACTTTCATCAGTACTTTTGACAGATGGTCATCTAGTTTATGCCTGGGTAAGCACATTAGTAAGGAACACATACTTTTTGATGCAGCCTGTTCTACTACTCTGTTGTGTATATTGTTTAGAATTTGGCCCTTATCAGTAACACAAGTTAAAATGACTTTTTCATCTCTTTTAGAAAATGAAAACTCTTCTGGAAATCATGCCCTATTTTAAGTCTTCTCTATTTATTTGACATTTTATTATACAGTAGTAATTTATTGCACTATAACAATAGCTATCATTTACTAAGTGTTTACTTTATGAATTAGCGAGTTCGTATCACAGTACCATGAGGCATTATTTTTCTCTTTCTACAGTTAAGGGAAGTGAGACTCAGAGATGTTCAGTGACTTGCTAAAGGGCACACAGTTTTCTATAAAGGTTAGCAGAGCCAGGATTTGGACTTTAACCCATCCTGTTATCCTTTGAACTATGTTGTTAACATTGTAAAGAATGGGGATTCCAGAACACTTAGTTGTGCTCATGAGGAACTTGTACATAGGCCAAGAGGTAAGCATTCAAACTGAACAAGAAGATTCTGCATCATTTAAAATCAGGAAGGGAGTGCATCAGGGTTGTATTTTCTCACCACACATATTTAGTCTGTATGCCAAGCAATTAATCCACGAAGTAGGA